AATTGTGAGAATGTATGCGTGTGTGTATGTAATTGTGAGAATGCATGTGTGTGTATGTAAGTATGTAATTGTGAGACTGCATGCCTGTGTGTAAGTATGTAATTGTAAGAATGTATGCATGTGTGTAAGTATGTAATTGTGAGAATATGTGCATGTGTAAGTATGTAATTGTGAGAATGCATGCAAACTGGGTCTAGCTGGTTTGAATGGAAATGCATAAATGCACATGGGTGAATCTGTATATGAATTTTTGTGAGTTTATGTGTATTTGCTTATATAAAAGTTTTTCCTTCTGCAAATGTAATTCTCTTCTCCAGGTTCAATACAAGTTTTTTGCTCCAACCTTCTTCCTGCTCTTACAAGGGAGAGGAGAGGCACAGGGACAAAAGGGAAAAGGCTCTAGCAATTAATCCCTTACTTAATCCCCCACTGGTCAGCTACTGGTGTTAATCGCCTGAGCCAGCGCTTTTAACCCTCAGAATGAGCAAGAAAGTTTTTAGGATGTTTTAGAAGTTATCATCAGTCTCGAAAACAAAAAAAAAAAAACAAAACAAAAAAAAAAAGAAGAAGAAGAAGTTATCATCAGCATTCAGGATAGTTAGAGAGCTAGAACATCTGGAGACTCTCAGTCTGTAAAGCCACACCAGAGTCCTACTCTGTGTCTTGTTTCAACCTCTCCAGGCCAGGGGCTCCCAGAAGGAGCCATTAAGTTAAAAAACATATATATATATGTGTGTGTGTGTGTGTGTGTGTGTGTAATAAGAAAGGTGTTATTTTCCTAGTGATTCAATTTAAGACATGTCATTGTACTCGAACTCAAATAATCCCCACATACATACACATTAGCAAGTAGACTGACCACACATTAAATAATTCCGACTGTTTTCTAATGACACAAGGCACTGCATATGAGGTGTGGAGACCGTCGGTTGCAATCCTAGCACTTGGGAGGTGGAGGCAGAGTGATCAGGAGTAAAGTCATCTTTTACTGTACCGTGAGTTTGAGGCCTCCCGCCCCACCCCAGCCCCCAACGGGATACATTTTAGAGACCCTGTCTCAAAAAAAATGGGTGGGGGCTGGAGAGATGCCGCAGCCATTAAGAGCACTTGCAGCTCGTAGCATCCTTGTCAGGTGACCCACAACCTCCTGGAGCCCGTGCTCCAGGGCATGACTGACCTCCTCAGGCACTCCACGGTGCCTCCCTCTCCCTCTTTCTTACACACGTGCACATTCCACGTAAACACTGTCTCTCTGTCTCTGTTTCTGTCTGTCTGTCTGTCTGTCTGTCTGTCTGTCTCTCTCTCTCTCTCTCTCTCACACACACACACACACACACACACACGCACAAACCCACACTAAAAAAATAAGATTTTTTTTTAAAGCAGATAAAATATGATCATGTTCCTGGTGGTCAATTTTCGGGATCAAGGGACCCCAGTGATGTGAAGGAACACCCCAACAAGAAAGCATCTTCGATGCAGTACTTGGGGCAATGACAAGTCCCTCCTTCCTGCTGTTTTGGGGACACTGAGGGAAAGGATGCATGCAGACTGTTTTCTGAGGGAAGTGAGGGAAAGGACCCGGCAGTCTCCTAGAGCCAGGGCCTGGCTTCCAGGGAGGAAAAGGACGCTTGGGAACGGGATGGGCCCACAGCAAAAGACGGACGGCTATGCTGTCACCGTTACATTTTAACTGAGAACCATCCCAGCTACGGCCAACTTCCGACTCAAAACAACCGAAGAAACTGGGGTTGAAGTTTGGGGGTTGCGAACCTCCGGTCTTAGAGGGCCTGTGCCCTACTTCCGGTCTCTGGGAGCGGCCGTCTTGCAGGCTAAAAAGACTTGAAAGGGACTCAAGGAGATGTGGGATGGACTCGCCTCCCTGATCTGAAAGAGGACCATAGCATTGGTCTCCAGGACGCGGCTTAGCATGCCCTAGCACCTGAACTACATTTCCCAGAAGCCATCGGGAGCGCCCGCCCTCCAGATAGCCTTGGAATACACTTCCCAGAACTCTCTCACTACTGGAAGAACCAAGTCCTGACCAATAGAGAAAAAAGGAAAAAAAAAAAAAAGGGGGTCTGTGAGCTTCCGAACTACAACTTCCAGACGCCCCTTATTCTGGCCGTTTCATCCACTTCACAAAAATTAGTCCTTGTATCCTTGGGCTGTTAAGTAGTTTGTATTGCTTTGGGGGTTACTGGCAAAACAAACAAACAAACACCTTACAGAAACAACTTGAAAGTTTTCTTTGGGCCAGTTTAAAAGGGATTTCAGTGCATCATAGCTCGAAAGGCCTGGTGGAGACAACTCTGGCTTGGGCGCATATCAATGCAGGTTCCCATCTGGTGCTTGGTCCAAGAAGCAGAAAAGGCAAGCCAGAACCAGAAGCAAACGTCTGTCCTCGAGGCCCCATTTCCAAAGTTTTAGTAACTCAGGGGTCAAGTCTTCAAATCCTTGGGGCGTGGGGGTGGGGGTGCATTTCCCATCTAGCCTAGACAGTGCCAAAGAAGAATCCATAGTGTGGTGTGGGGTATCTTGTTACTGCCAGGCTAACAAAACTCGTCTTCAGCCTATACAGTCAGAAAGGATAACTGATTCTACAAACAAAAACACGAGACAAAATCCAAGATGGAACTCAAGTGGACAAGGACAAATATTATCCATAAAAAGACAATGCCAAGTTGACGGCAGATGACAGTATTGAGTTTTTTTGTCTATTCTGGGGACTGGACCCAGGACCTGTGCACGGTGAGGAAGTATTCGAACACTGAGATACTTCCCCAGGTCCAAAGTGGGTTTTTATATTTCGGCTGCTTCTGAGTTTCTATTAAGGCTGCTAGGGCTCCTGTAACAGAGACTTACGTCTCAACCGTTTCGAAAGCATGGCCCCATTTTACTAACAAATACCATCTTTTCCGTACTCAGCACCTCAGCACTAGGACTATGCCAACTCAGCAGCACCTCGTCTTTGTAAGACACTTCCACAAAGCCCTGGTGAGGTATCGTTCCCAAAGTTCTCTACGGGACAACTGAAAAAGGTCACGGTTGCAACTACAGCTTCCTTATAACTAATTAACAGTGCCCGGAAACACTGGGATGGAAGGAGCGGAAACACCGACCTTAATGGGGCCGTCTTCATTTTGAAAAATGATTAAAAGAATTCTCAAAACAGGCCAGTGAGATGCTCACTGGGTAAAGGAGCTCCCACCAAGCCTGACAGCCTGAGTTTGAAAGAGGGAACTGCCTTCCAAAAGGTACTGATCTCCACATATACTCTGTGACATGCCTACACTAGCATGTGTGTGCTCCCACATACACTAACTTGTTTTTTAAAAAATTATTTACGTTATGTGTATGAATGTTTTGCCCACATTCATGTATGTGTGCCATATATTGGATTTTCTGAAACGTATGTAATGGATAGTTGCGAACCACCATACGGATGCAGGGAATTAGGTTCTTTTCGCTTAACTGTCAAGCCACCCTCCAGCCTCCCACACTAAACTATTTTAAGTGAAAAAAAAAAAAAGAATCCACGTGACACAAGTCTTTTCAAGCGCTATTTTATAGAACAATTTTCCTGAATGGATTCCTTGATGTTTTTACCGTCTCTCTTGCTCTTGTACGGTTTACCGCTGCTGTGGATTCTGTGATGAATTATAAGGTTTGACCGCCAACCAAAGCTCTTACCACAAACATCACACTTGTAAGGCTTCTCCCCCGTGTGAACTCTCTGGTGGGATTGCAGCTGTGAAGAGCGACTGAAGCCCTTCCCACACACATCACAACTGTACGGCTTCTCTCCGGTGTGGACTCTCAAATGAACTTGGAGGTTTGAATTCAGAGTATAGCCTTTACCACACACAGTACATACGTAGGATTTCTCTCCGGTGTGAATGCCCTGATGAGCCTGAAGACTCGAAGGGCGACTAAATTCTTTCCCGCAGTCCACACACTTATAGGGTTTCTCTCCTGTGTGGACTCTCTGGTGGATGTAGAGATTTGAGCTACAAATGAAGTTCTTCCCGCACTCCTCGCACTTGTACGGTTTCTCTCCGGTGTGGACCCTCTGGTGGGAGCGCAGATGTGAATTGCGGCTGAAACTCTTGCCGCAGGCATCACATTTGAACGGTTTCTCCCCAGTGTGCAGTCTCTGGTGGTCCTGGAGGTGGGAGGCCTGGCTGAAGGCACTCCCGCACGTCTCACAGGTGTAAGGTCTCTCCCTAGTGTGCACTTTCAGATGGACACTGAGTGCCGATTTACAACTGAAGTCTTTTCTGCAATGCTCACACGTGAATGGCTTCACGGCCGTGTGGACCGGCTGGTGGATGCGGAGATGTGGATTATGACCAAATTTACGTTCTTCTCCTGTGCGATCTCCTTGATGAGCACAGCCATCTGTGCCACAAGGGAAGCCTCTTCCATCGTCCACACCCTCACAAGTCCTCTCTCCTGAGTCTAACACTTGGTGGGGATCAGAGCTGGAGGGATTGGGAATAGCTTCTTTGCATTGGGAGCTTTTCTGTCTAGTGTGATTCGCTCCATTCTGGTCAAATGGAGCCACCTCCATACCATCTCCCCCATGATCACTGGGGCCATGCGACTCTTTACTTTTGTTTACTCTGTGATCAGAGTGGGGATGCGGAAGCCGGCTGGGAGACTGAATGTCCTGTTTACTCTGACCTGGTTCATCTCTCTTGGAGACTCGGTGGTATTGATCCTTACAGTTCTGTGGCTCGGGCAGGAAAGTTTTCTGGGTTCTCAAAGTGGGAAGCCGGAGCCTTCTGGCACTGATGGGGACATTTATTGTATGACTCTTTATACAGTCCTCATATTCAGAAACGTGAGCAGATGACCCTGACCGGAGCCGGCCCTGTAACTGAGGAGTATTTACCACAGAGTCTTGACACGTGGTTATGTCGTCCGTGACCCACTGCCAGATTTGCCAGCAGGAAAGGGCTTCAGGTGACCCTCTACCTCGGACAGCCCCTCTCTCATGCTGAGCCTTAATTCCTATAAAGACAGAGGGAAGGATGAGTGGAAAATGTTTACACTTTGGGATTTCAGCCTTAGGTCACAGTACTAGACTTTAATGTAAATCAAGGTGACTTTTCAGCTTATCCTTTTCCTTATTAGTGAAGTTTTGGGGTGTAAATACTAACAGAACCCACTACATAGTCTACTGAGCTCCTTATTAAGAACCAATAAGGGCTGGAGAGATGGCTCAGTAGTCAAGAACACTGCCCGCTTTTCTAGAGGACTGGGTTCATCCACAGCATCTGACACCACTCTTCTGCCCATGTAACTCCACGCGTAGGGGACCTGACACCCCCTTCTGACCTCCATGGGCCCCAGGGCCACATGTGCTATACATAACTCCATGTAGGCAAACACCCACACACATAAAATAACAATAAAAAAAATGTAAAGAGAACTAATAAAACCCAATTAAAATCAATTACTGATTGAATTTTTTTTTCCTTTTAAAATTATACATCTTTCCTACTATACGACAGTGTCAACAGGAAGAAACATTTTACGGTGCTCAGTTTTCTAGCTGCTACCCAGAACCGTGCCCGGTACAGGTTCCAGCAATAACGTGCTACAACTGCTCAGAGCACGCTGCTTGGCCCACACAATGCCAGCAATAGGGACCGAGAACAGCTAGTCCTGGAGATGAGTAACAGAAGATTTCTCACCTAAATCTCGCTCCCTCTGGGCTGCCCTCCTCATTCGAGGCTTCTCTTCTCTTTCTAAGTGTGGTTTATCTCGTTTGAAAAGTTGATACTCTGTGAACATGCAAAATCACAATTGTCAGAGGGCGCGATCCCGGTGAAACTGCACTGGGGGACGTCAGTGGCTGATGACATCATCAGCAACACACTGAAAACAGTGTGTTCAAGCTGACACACACATAGCCCAGGGAAGAAATACCACTTACGACGGGACCCTTCCACCACACACAGGCGTGTCAGGAACACAGTCTGAGCGGCCTACGCTGAGCATGCCTGCAGTCAGCAGACCTCTCTTCACTTGCTCCGCATCCATTCGTTCCTGTCCTACAATGTGTGTTATTTTTTTCTGAGGAATGCTGGTGTTTTCTACTATATCATGTTCCATTAAAAGTTGCCAGTACTCCGGGCAGTTGGTGGCGCAATACCTTTAATCCCAGCACTTGGGAGGCAGAGGCAGGCAGATTTCTGAGTTCGAGGCCAGCCTGGTCTACAGAGTGAGTTCCAGGACAGCCAGGACTACACAGAGAAACCCTGTCTCGGAAAACCAAAAAAAAAAAAAAAAAAAAAAAGTTGCCAGTAGAGGTGCTGGAGAGATGGCCTGGTGGTTCAGACTACTTGCTGCTCTCCCAGAGTTCTGTGTCCAGCACTGACAACCACCTAGCTCCAGTGTCAGCGTGTCCAATGTCCTTTTCCAGCCTCCGAGGGTGCCCACACAGAGGTATGTCTCTCACACATACACGCATCAAAATAATAAAAATTAGTATCTTTTTAAAATGATCAGTATGGGGCTAAAGCGATGGGCCGGTGGTTAAGAGTGCTTGCCGCTCTTCCAGAGGACCCCAAGTTCAGTTTCTAGTACCCCCATCCTGTGGCTCACAACCATTTGTAATTCCTCTAAGTCTAGCCTCAGAGAGTACACACACGCACACACACACACACAAACACACCAAATAAGATGTGATTTTGCTGTCACTTTTGTTTGTTCATTTGTTTTTCAAGTCAAGATTTCCCTGTGTAGCCCTGTAGACCAGGCTGGCCTCAAACTCACAGAGATCTGCCTGCTTCTGCCTCCTGAGTGCTGAGATCGGAGGCATGTGCCACCACCATCCAGTAAGACGTAATACATGTCGATAATAAAAATAACAATAACAATAATAATAATAACAATAATAATAATATGTGGAGGTAGCCTCAGTTGTTGAGAGCATTGGTTGTTCTTCCAGACGACTTGGGTTCAGTTCTTAGAACCCGCATGGCGGCTCACATGTAGCAGGATATTTCCCCTGCTACATTTTACAATAAATCCGGTAATTTGGGAGGAGCTAATGTGGGAGGAGAGAAGGAGAGGAAGAGGAGGAGCTAGGAGAGCAGAGATGGAGGAGCTATGGAGGACCATGCATGTACTGAGAGCAGTCCTGGGTAACAACTCATATCTAGGTTAGTTACCTGGGTAACACCTCTAATTGCGTGGGCATCTTGTTATTGAGCATTACCAAATATATAAAGCCTTTGGATAATCTAAGCATTAGAGTCTCATTCCTACCGGGTACCCATAGATGGTGGGATGGTCTAGACTCAGCCACGCATTGTGGAGACAGTGTGGTAGACTGGCAGAGCCTTCTCCCACGCTGGTGTCTCTTGGGGGCCAAGGTCGGTGCTTTGGCCAGCATGAGCTGTGGTCAGAGTTGAGCAGAGGCGGGAGCACACCGCTGCTCTTGGCCTCAGGCCTTGCCTAGTTGAAAACATGGCAGCCCCTTAACAACAAGCCAGATTGGGTGCCGCCGTTTAAAAAATAACAGTAACACTCACAACCATCTGTAACTCTAGTTTCAAGGGTACCAGGTTATATACTCCTATTCATACATATATAAACTAACAAATTAAACAAACAAATAAAATGTCCTTAAATGTCAGGGGCAGCCCTGCTTATACACTGAAGGCCTAAAATCAGCCATAGGCCTGACATACATGCCTGCTAGCACCAAGTCTTGGGTCTCTGTGGAAAAACACTGAAACAGATGGCTAGAAGCTATTGTAAACAAGCAGCTTTGGTGGAAGGCTGCCAAGCTGGGCTAGTCATAGACCTTGTAGATAGATAACCTTGGTGGATAGTACCAACTTAGATAGAGACAAGTGAATCATAGGCAGAGTCATAGTGATCTGTCTCCTGAACCTTCACCCAGCTGACACTCTGTTCTGGAAGATATCTGTACTCCCCCTGAACAATCTGTATCCCCTGAACACCCACATTCCTGTGTCATCCCCTTCCCCACATCCTGCCTTTTTGTGCATATTACCTGTGTGTGAAAAAGCAATAATTGTGATCTGATCAGACTATAGACAGGTCGTCATTTCTTTGCGTGTTTGCCTGTGTCCCCCCCCACCCTCTTCAGGTGACCTCCCCGGACCCCTGTTTAATGTCCTGCTGGACAGGACACTTAAATATCACAAACAAATAAAATGTCTTTAAACATCCAGTTCAGAAAAGACAAGAAATGTTCCAACTCCAAGGTCACACGTTTGTGCCAGAGGGCAGCCGTCCTCACCCACTGAGAGCAGGTTCCGGAAGTTCTCCACCATCACATCTTGGTACATCTTCCTCTGGGCAGAGTCCAGCAGCCTGAACTCCTCTTTAGTGAAGACCACAGCCACATCCTTGAATGTTACTGCCTCCTACAACAAGCACATATGACCTCAATCTTACAAACAACTGCTGTTAGTAACATTGTCAAAGTTAAAATAGTCTCAATCTCAGGGGAGAGAGGGAATAAGCTTGTAAAGACTCAGAAAGTTCTAAAAGGAGGCTCCTTGAGTTTCTGGAAAATTATACAACTCATAAGTCACAGAAACTCCCTGAAACTGACCAGATGCCCAAGGTCCCTCAGTCATAGAGTTATATTCAGGTCAACAAGAGTTTCCTAGCAGAGCCTCTCCTACTTATTGAGATGTCTGCAAATTGTACATTAAGTTCTAGGGAAATGCTTCCAAGATGCAGCTGCCTTGGAGTCACCCTGTTCCTGGGAGTGACCCCAATAAACTCATCAGTTCACCAACTTGAACTTGTGTGGTATTTTTACTTGAGTCTGTTGTGGATTCCCTACTTGGAGTAAACAAACGTTTATCTCTGTCTCCCTAAGAGAAGAGTCAACACCAATGTCTTCTAGAGGCACAATGGCCCTGAAAAGTCGGAGGACAGTTAAACTTACAGGGACAAACAAGCATTTGGCATATCCTCAAGACCTCAAGTGCTTTCATTCATTCTATTTTTAAAATGACATTTACTCATTGTATATGTGTGTGTGTGTGCTTGCATGTGCACACACACGGGCCTGCATGTGTATGTGATAGTGATTGTGTAAAAGACAGAGGATGACTTGTGGAAGTCAGTTCTTCCCCATGTAGATCTTGGGGATCAAACTTAGGTCATCAGGCCTGGAGGCACGGACCTTAACCACTGAGCAGCCATCTCGTCTGCTCTCCAGTGCTTTGAGTCTCCTTACATGAGACAAATCCTCTAGCTTGAGAAAGACCACTGTATTCTGACAGCGAGAAGGGCAAGCATTCTGACAGTGAGAAGGGCTAGCTCTACTTACCATGGGTCCGCTCACTTTTTACCCGTCCTTCAGGGAGGTGCAGAGCCTAAAAGGCAAAAATCGGAAAAGAGAGATGTCTCGATGGTGCCACTGACCACACGGCTGAGAGTCAGGTGCGTGTTCCATGTAGCCTACGGTCAGAGGATGACAGTGATACCATGTACGATACGTACTCCATTCAGGAGCACGTTACAGAACAGTGTGCCCAACCACAACATGTGAGATCTCCTTGTACGATTTTTTTTGCAATTTTCTCTACGTTTTAAATTCTAAGGAAACTTTCAGTAATCGGTGGTGATAATGTCGAGGATGGTAAAAGGAAAACAGCATATAACGCTAATCCACTGTAACTGGTACTCGGCGTGCCACTCCTGATGGAAGTACGCGGAAGGCAATAAATCCACTCGCAGGAGTCTACAGGGAACACGTCGTGAATCCTAATTTGGCTCTGCACACACCATTGCCTCGTGTTGCTTGGGATTTTTAGCAGGAGTGACTGTTGACAATATTTATTAAGCAAATGGGGGAGGGGTTATCACAGTACCGTGATTACAGTACTCCGATCCATTCTACCTGTGCCAGGTGGCATGGTGAACCTTCTAAGCCTGAATTTTCAGATGAGCCCCTGGCCTGAACTGTTTACATTGGACCTGTGTGGGAGTCACCTGGATCTCATTAGAATGCAGACTTGGGGTGGGGGGTAGCTGCAGGAGTTCTCAGTTAGGTGGGTGGGGCTGGAATCTGGGCGGAGCTTGAGTCTGGGTGGGGTTTGAAAGCCTGGGTACTGTCTCCAGGAGAGGAAACTCTCTCTGCTGGTTCGAGGAGGTGAGTTTCTGAACTGCTGCAGGGGGTCAGCCAGTCCCAAGGAACACAGCTGCCATTTGAGGGAAACTTACCCAAGAAAACCTGACAGAAGCATACTAAAGTAGTAACAATTTTTTTTTTTTACATGATTCTGTAATTTTGGACATCTCCATGTCTATAACGTAAAAAAAAAAAAAAAAAAAAAGTTATTTGGAAAAACCAGAACTGGTGAAAACAACTTTTGGAAAAACCTAATACTAGGGACTGGGGCGATGGCTTAGTTGGTAAAGAGCTTTCTGGGCAAGCGTGAAGACCCGAGTTTCATCTCAAGAACACATTTTATAAAGTCAGGGCAAGGGAGGGTGGGGGCTGCATGCCAGTGGCACAGATCTGTAAACCCAGTGCTGAGAAGGCAGATAATGGACTAATCTCGCCTGCTTGGTCAAAAGCCCTCGCCAAATTAGGCAAGCTCGAAGTCCACAGGGGGATTTGGTGTAAAGGCATTTACCAGAGAGCCTGACTGTTTGATCCTCAGGCTCCACAGGGTGGAGGGTGGGCAGCATCTCCTCAACGTGATCTTCTAATCTCCACAGCCACACTCAATGCCCCACCCCTACATACATGTTAAACGGAAAAACAGGGGATGGTTCCTGGGAACCTGAGGTTGACCTCCAGTGTCTGTACACACACACCACACACACACACACACACACACACGCACACACACACAGGTCCAACAAATACACAAAAGCCTGCTCTCAAGTTCCCTGCGAGCCTATACTCAGGATACGGGATGGCTTCCTCTGGGAGCTTGGACCAGGAAGACTGAGCACGGCCTAGTTCCTGAGGCTAGCATCCCCACTCTTGTGGCTCCTTTTGAAAGGACTGAGGAAGCAGAATAAACTCCATTTTGTTCTTAAGACTCTATTTAAGTTAACTTGTCCTTGAAGAGACACGGCCAATGAAGAGGCAAAAACCCCAGCAGGAGAGATTCTATCTTCTCCTCCAAACTCTTTAAGCTGCCGTCCTTGGAGAAAGCTACAGTCTAGAAAGCTGTCTGCTGTCCTTGAAGTGATATGGCCCCCATCCTTGGGCTCTGGGAAAGAGACCAACATTCCTTTACCCTGTCATGTAATGTCAAGGCTTAGAAACCCCTGCTTGCGGTATTTTTCCTTTATAAATCCCCTTCACCTAGAGCTGGGGTCACTCTCCTTCCTGTGCCATCAGAAGGCTGGTGGCCCCAGCTCAGCTTGAATAAAGACTCACCTGTGCTTACATCGGAGTTGTGGTTCCTGGTGGTCTCTTAGGGGTTTTTGCAATCTGAGCACAACACTCTGTATAAACTAACCTCTAATTACAGTCATTCCCTGGTGTACAACCCACACATCCTCCAGCATCAGCCAATCTTAGTCACATGTGGCTTCCGGCACTGCTTTTTGGGAAGTCAGGGCTGCGGGGAAACCAAATATTGAAAAATTACAAAATCACCTACATTAAATCTCACAGTTCTTGCCCCAGTATCTAGTGCAAGCAGCCAGCTCCTTCCTATAAAGGTCATAGCTGGAGGTAGCTAGCAGATTCACAGAGGCCATGAGACCTACGTGCCGGGCAGTTTTGGGCAGATCACGTTCTATTTTTTTTTTCTCCAAGTATGCTACTAGGAAGGTCTAATTTCTGTCTTTTGCAGAACAGCCAGAAAATGCACAGAGCATTTTCAGCTAGCGGCAGGGGCAGAAGCAGAAGCAGAACCGGCTATGGGGTGGAGAAGGTGGGCTGCAGGCCTGGAGGGGAGCCGCAGGGGCATGGAGGGGGCTGCAGGCCTGGAGGGGAGCCGCAGGGGCATGGAGGGGGCTGCAGGCCTGGAGGGGAGCCGCAGGGGCATGGAGGGGGCTGTGGAAGGGGACAGATGGCTTCAGGGGGGAGCTTCAGGTGGGAGGGGGACTGCAGGGAGGGAGAGGGGCTGCAGGGAGGCAGAGGGGCTGCAGGGAGGCAGAGGGGAACTGCAGAAGGGAGGGGTGCTGCAGGGAGGAGAGGAGGCTGCAGGCGGGAGGGGTGCTGCGGGCCGGAAGAGGAGGTTGCTAGAAGGGGCTGCAGGACCAGAGAGGGAAGTTGATGGCAGGAGAAGGAGGGGGCTGCGGGAGAGGGGGCTGCAGGCAGAGATGGGGCTGCAGTCCAAGAAAAGGGGCAGCAGGCGCGGAGGGGTGCTGCGGGCGGAAGAGGGGCCGCAGGCAGGGAGAGGGGGCTGCGGGAGCGCTGCAGAATCGGCTCGCACGGAGGGCCTGCAGGCACGGGGACGCTCCCTCCGGAGCTCGCCGCTGCTCCTTACCTTTCAAACCTCGCTCCTTCCTTCTCGCCCGAGACGCAGTTACTGTCGATCTCAGAGGCATCTAGACATTCTAGAGGTTCCTGGTTAAAAGAACTCGATGCCCGGGGACAGATGGCTAACAAGCCAACCCAAAGCCGACGAGTTCCCAGAATTCCGCGTGGAGAAACCGTGACGCTCGGCTCCCGTGGTAACGGAAGTGAGGATGCAGAGGCGTGGATGGCTCATCCCCGAAGCTAGGGGAGGAGCACCGCCCTCCCGTATTGAATTTCCCTATTGATTTTCATTTCTCACACTCCCTAAGAAAGTCTTGGGCAACAATGTCTTTACATTGTAGGATGTCTGCCTTAGGACGTAGATAGACTTTGGCGCTGGAGAGACGACGTAGCGCAGAGAGCGCGGCTTTTACAGAGTACCCGGTGACCTGGAGTCACTCCTGCTCCGGAGGACCTGTCGCCCTCTTGTGGCGTCGCCGAGCGCTGCATGCACAGACAACATGCAGAGAAAACATCCACATTAAAAAAAAAAAGTTTTATAAAAAACGAAAGAAAAGGGGGCTGGAGAGATGGCTCAGCGGTTAAGAGCACTATATGCTCTTCCAGAGGTCCTGAGTTCAAATCCCAGCAACTACATGGTGGCTCACAACCATCTGTAATGAGATCTGATGCCCTCTTCTGGTGTGTCTGAAGACAGCCGCAGTGTACTCATATACATAAAATAAATCTTAAAAAAAAGAAAGAAAAAATAAAACAAAAACTATTTATTGGTGTTTTCATGCATGCGGGGGGTGGGGCGTGCATGCTACCGCACAAATGAAGTCATGTGACAGTGTACGGGGAGTAAATCCTCTCCTTGCACTCACTATTTGGGTCTAGGGGACCCAACTCAGGTTGTCAGGCAGGGCAACAGGAGTGTTTACCTGCTGAACCACCTTGAAAACTCTTAAAAGCCCAGCACAAGAACCAGCTTTTAGTAAGGAGCGATTCAAACATGGTTCAGCAATTTCAATAGGAATATGAATAGCAAACAAGGACATGTTTATCTTTAGATAATTTTTTTTGGGGGGGGTTGGTTTTTCAAGACAGGGTTTCTCTGTGTAGCCCTGGCTGTCCTGGAACTCACTCTGTAGACCAGGCTGGCCTCGAACTCTCGAAGTCAGAAATCCACCTGCCTCTGCCTCCCAAGTGCTGGGATTAAAGGCGCGCGCCACCACCGCCCAGCTAGATAATTTTTTAAAGAAATGGATATATGTGAAATGAGCTGGTACCATAAGCTTGTGGAAAAAAATGCTAACATGCGAGAACCTAACATGTCGATGGCAAGAATACAAAATGGACAGCTGTGTATTCTTTAAAATTATTCTTAGTAAAGTTAAATATACTACCATTAATCAACATAGTAGTGATTCTGGATGTAGAGGGCTCGCTGTTTCAGAACAGTAACCCGTTCTCTTAACTCCCTCCTCCCCGTTTCCAGCCTAGGCCCTTTCAAACATTTCTCCCAACTATTCCTTCCTCAGTTTCCCATCAGTGTAAACAGTCCCTTCTCCCAGTTTTCCCAATTCTAACAGCTCTAAACTATAACGACTGTTCTAGCCTATCTGCGCAGCTCAGCTCCTCCGGCCTCCACTGTCTCCTAGTACCTTCTGTCCCAACTGCTATCCCTTCTTGTTCTGCCGGCTCCGCCTCTTCCTCCCGCTAGCTCCGCCCCCGTTCTCTGGCAAAGCTGGCTTTCTTCACCTTGGTCTCCTGAAGTTTCTCAGTCTGTGCTTCTTCTTTACAAGAAACGATGCTGTTGCCTATACAGTGAGAGCTTGCCTTTATTTAACTGGCTCGTTTCTCATCATTTTCTTTTCAATCAACTCATCCCCGTGTTTATTTCGTTGACTTTAGACTCAAGTTGGAGATAGTCACTGTGGCCCATAGCTGGCTCAGAAACCACTTTTGGCACAAAAATAAATAAATTGATTAATTGATTAATTTTAAAAATGTAATTCCTTTTTCTTGCTTTCTAATTCTTTTGGAAAAATTTCAGTGACCATATATGAATTAAACTTTGTCTCCTCCTTTAGCCTCTTCGTGAAACTCCAGGCTTTGCAGCCGCTGCAGCAGGCAGATTGAATAAAAATTTTCAAGTGACTGCCCTTCTCAAGGCTGACTTACTGAAGGCATGTGACGTCTTAGGCACCGCTTGGGTATAGAGGTACACAATGTAGATACACAACTCAAACATTTACTATTAATTGGAAAGAAATGTGTTTTGAAACAGCTTCAATAAGTGATAATTTATTAATCACAAACCAAATTTGCATAGTAGTTCCGTGGAACCCTTTCTGTAGGGGAGTAACGGGGACGCTTAAAACCACGCTGAGACACAGCAAAATCTGCAGGTAAACTAAAACTAGCTCGATGCTTAACAAGCACTGAAGAGTGAGAACAGACAAGTAGTGTAAGCACAGCGTTTGCTTCAGGAAGAGCAGGAAATGTGTACAGTACAAAGCAGTGCAATTTGTAACAGACAACAGTGCTGGCCCTGAGCAGAGAGACTTCGAGCAGTGCCCATGGTCCTGGGTGTGGTGATGGCAACATGTAAGGTTTCACGCTGTGTGTTCTGAGGACGGCTGTAGTGAAGTCACACAGTTGCAGCATGGGTAAGAGCTGCCAGAAGCCCCTCGGATTTATCACCTGTTGAATTCTGAGGGGTTGGTCACCGGATATGCAGAAAGCTTGTAGCATCCCTAAATGTCTTGTGACTGTCACTTATGGTTATGAAGCCCCACATGAGGTTGCAACCAGCAGTGTAAGAAAGTTGCTCCCGTGGAACAGATCTGGTCCCTTCCGTTGAGATACCTCCAGTTCACACTCAACTTCACGCAGCTACTGTCTCCATGTGTTAAAGGGCAAGGTTCTGACTGAAGTCTACACGGCTCCAATTTAGAAAGCTTCTCTGCTTTGTAGTCTCCCCATTATCCTAAGGCATCCTGTTCCAGTCAAAATACTGATACTACGACCCCTTTGTCTCCCTTGAGAACTCTAAGAACTGGGACCTTTCAGCTTCCATTTGAAATATCGAACTATAAAACATTACAGAGTTTGTTTCCCCTGTGAGCCTTCTGATCCAGGCCAATCCTTCTGCCCCTCATCGTCAGCGTGGACCCGCTGGTGAATTAAGAGACTTGAGCTCCAGCTGAAGCCCTTCCCACACTCCCCGCACTTGTACGGTTTCTCTCCCGTGTGAACTCTCTGGTGGGCTTTGAGGTAGGAGCTCCAACTGAAGACTTTTCCACACTCCTCGCATCTGTAGGGTTTCTCTCCAGTGTGGATCCTCTGGTGGTCATGGAGGTACGACCTCTGCCGGAAGCGTTTTCCGCATACGTCACATTGATACGGTTTCTCTCCTGTGTGGACTCCACGGTGAGCTAGAAAATTGGACGCCCGACAGAAGCCTCTACCGCACTCCTCACACTGATAGGGTCTCTCTCCGGTATGGGACCTCTGGTGTGCTTGAAGGTGTGACTCCACAGTGAAGCCCTTCCCACACTCTGTGCACTTGTACGGTTTGTCTTCACTGTGGACCCTCTGGTGCACTTGGAAAATTGAGACTCGACTGAAGGCTTTCCCACACGTCTCACACTTATAGGGTTTCTCTCCCGTATGGATTCTACAGTGAACGTTAAGATCTGAACTCCGGCTGAAGCCCTTCCCACACGTGCTACATTTGTAGGGCTTCTCTCCGGTGTGGCCTCTCTGATGGGCCAGAAGATGCGAGGCCTGGCTGAAGCCTTTCCCACACTCCTCGCATACGTAGGGTTTCTCTCCCGTGTGGACTCGTATGTGATTGTTAAACTCCGAGCTGTGACAGAAACTCTTCCAGCAAGCATTGCACTGATAGGGCTTGTTTCCAGCGTGGCCTTTCTGATGGTCCAGAAGGGTGGAGGCCCGAGTGAAGCCCTTGCCACACTCCTCACACTTGTACGGTTTCTCTCCGGTGTGCCTCACCTGATGGGCTTCGAGACCCGATAACCGACAGAAGGAGTGGTCACATTTTTCACATCTATACCTCTTCTCTCCTTCGGGGAGTCGCCCGTTAGCCTGAAGTGGGGAGTCCCAGGAGTCTTTCTCGCTCCTGTCCTCTCCGTAAGGTTCTTCACCACCGTTTAATCCGCAGTGGCGTTGGAGCCGTGATTTCTGACCCGAATGCTTGCTGTATTCTTCGTCTGCACGACGCACTTCATCTCGTTTCAACCGAGAGCCAGTTTCCCCGACGCTTGCTCTGCACTCTCGAGCCTTGGTTAACTCCCTTGTAACTTGCTGCCAGATTTGTGAGCAGAAAAGCTCCTCGTGTGGCAGGTGCCTCAATCCCGCTTCCTCAAGAGACTCCATCTCCTCTACATTCTTGCCTCCTGAAAATAAAGAGAATTCAGAGAGGGGCAGGGTGTGTGAGTGCTCTGCTGGCTGATGCTGGAGTTAGACAGTTAAAGCACAGCCTAGGGCTTCACTGAACCAGAGATCCAATGGCTCGTCTAACATCCAGGATCCTGTCTTCTCCTGCCACGCCCAGAAGCCAAGGTCAGTGCTTCCAGCTCCCACTCACCACGTAACAATGAGAACCATTGCAAGCTCTACAAAGTATACAAAGCAAAAAAACACCATTTCCATCGAGATAGAAAGAGCAAGCCAGTGTGGTGGCATGCCTTTAATCCCAGCACTAGGGAAGCAGAGGTAGGCGGATCTCTGTGAGTTCGAGGCCAGCCTGGTCTATGGCTAGTGTAGTCAGGGCTATGGAGAGAAACCATGTCTCAAAAAAGATGGAGGAGAAGGAGAAGGGAAGAAAAGAAAAGAAAAAGAAAAAGCAAAGAAGGAAGAGAAAGAGAAAAGGAGAAAAAGAAGTGGCCTTTTATATTATAAGCCTGGGAGCCTGCTCGGTGGCTTTGCCTAACACCTGTGAGGCCCTGGGTCCACCCTCAGTACTGCCACAACAAAAGAGACACCACCTCCCCACCAACTGAGTATGACATGGAAAAGCCACAGAAAAAAAAAAACATTCTCTAAATGTTGGCTAAAATCCTGACCCCCAGGAGGATAGATGGCATCAGGGAGGCAGTCAGGTCCTGCAGTTGGAGACCCCAAGAATGGGTTAGTGACTATAATAAAGGCCCATGGAAGGCTCCTTGCCCTTCAACCCAAGGAGACACAGCAAGAAGGGGTGGGCAGTACTGGGAGGGGTCCCTGTCAGGCATCAGGTCTACTGGTGCCTTCAACTCGGACTTCCATGCTTCTAGAACAGTGAGACATAGTTCCGCATGTTTGTTTCTATTTGTGTGTGTCTAAGTGTCTGCCTGCATGCATGTCTGTTCGCTGCCTGTGCCTAGTACCCACAGAGGCCAGAGGGGGTCGTCATGTCCCCTGCAGCTGGAGTTAACAGTCAGTTGTGAGCCGCCATGTGTGTGCTGAGAACAAAACCAGGCCACTTGACTGCTGAGCCACCTCGTGTGTAGCGCACTCCTGGGGTCAGAATAGAGCATTGGGTTCCTTGGAGCTGGAGTTACAGACGTAAGCCAGTTGATGTGGGTAGGAACCAGACTCACGTCTTTCTGCAAGAGCGGCCGGTGCGCATCATTTACCCAGACCCAGGTTTCCGATGTTTATAAGCCACTTAAGCCTATCGGTATTATTGTTGTTGTTGTTGTTGTTATTATTATTATTACTATCGTAGTACAGGGACCTAAACACAGAGTTTGGGCCCACAATCTTTGTTACAGATGCTGGAGGCTACAGAGTTCAGATAATGAACATTAACATCTATCTATCTATCTATCTATCTATTTATCCATCTGTAAAGGCACCTAGAAAATTAAAGTTAGACATCTTTGTTTGTTTGTTTTGTTTTTTGAGACAGGGTTTCTCCGTAGCCCTGGCTGTCCTGGAACTCACTCTGTAGACCAGGCTGGCCTCGAACTCAGAAATCCGCCTGCCTCTGCCTCCCAAGTGCTGGGATTAAAGGCGTGCGCCACCACCGCCCGGCAAAGTTAGACATCTTAAAAATGTCTTGACAATAAGTTGTCAAAAGAAAAAAAAAACCTATTCGATACTATGCTTTGATTATACATTTTAAACTTCGCCAACCACTAGGTGTCTCCCTGTCTAACTGGAAGAGAAGCCACACAGCCATTGTTAACTCATTCATTCCCTGAACAGATACTCTCGGCACAGCTGCTCTGCACAGGGCCCCTCCTGAGACTGCTGTTGGGGGGAGCCCAGGGAGAGAAAGGCTTGGCAGAACTGCACATAGCCATCAGTGGTCGGACAGACAACAGAACAGGGCAAAGGAAGGGAAGAGGATGATGAGGCCCCCTGTGCGGCCTAAGAGCTTAGACGAGAAAAGCATGACCCCAGGGAGGGGTCAGGAGGGAATCAGGTTGAGAACATCTTGACAGTTTAAAAGCAGGCAAGGAAGCAAGAGCATGTGTGGATACAGCAAGGACACCAGTGCAAGTGGAAATGACTGGCAGGGTAAGAAGTCACAGGCCATGTCACATAGATATGTGGGGGGGGGGGGAGGGACAGACACACGGGATGCTGTAGGCCCCAGATTTGACCTCACCGAGTAATAAGTCACATAGGTACATCAGTCGCAGGAAGCCATGATGTGGCTGACACCCAAAGGAGCCCGAGAGAGTGGAGAACTGAGGATAAAGGCCCAGGACAGCAGCACTGGAGTAGTACAGAGCCGGACAAGTCTCCCTGTGACCTCGGCACAGGCTGACACACTGGTGCCAATGCTGTGCCCAAGATGACAAGCTAGACAGGACAGACCCAGAGCCTCGCTGTCTGCACCTGCAGGGTCACCGCCATGGGTAGACATCTTCACCATTCAAAGCTCATGAACTTTCTGGAACCGACCGTGTGGGTAGAACTCTCTGGAACCGACCGTGTGGGCAGCTTGGATGCCATGACTGAGGCTCTACGAAGAGTTTTATTTAATATTAACTCTTGGGGGCTGATGAGATGGCTCGCTGGTTAAGAGCACTTACTGTTCTTGCAGTCGACCCAAGTTTAACTCCCAGCACCCACAACTGGGTGGCTCACTACAGTCAGAAACTATGGCGCCAGGGGATACAATACCTTCTGGCCTTTGTGGATACCCGCAGATAAACACACATACTAAAACTTACTAAGATGAAATAAATCATGAGCAGGGCAGCATCAAGATGGTTCAGAAGGTCAAATCAGCTGCTGTCATGGATGACGACCTACGTCCATTCCTGGGACCCACATGGGGGAAGAGGAAAGTGACACCCGCAAGTTGTCCTCTGACTTTAACAAGCGTATTATGGCATACACGTGTTGGCATCACACACACCACATGCACACTTGTGCACACACATACACCAGTGTTTTTTTCCAAACTTGTTTTTGTTTGTTTGTCTGTTCTGTTTTTCAAGACAGGGTTTCTCTGTGTAGCCCTGGCTACCCTGGAACTCGCTCTGTAGACTAGGCTGGCCTCGAATTCACAGAAATCCACCTGCCTCTGCTGGTTTTGAGACAAGAATTTGACTCTATGCCCCAGGTTAGTCTCAAACTCATAGTGATCCTCATGCCTCTGCCCTGCTTTCCAATGTTCTAATTGTGTCATAACAAAAGAAATATGTGTTATGTAAAAGACACAAAAGATACAGACATTAGCATGAATATTAAAAAGGTACATTTTCACCAGGACTGGCTGCGCAGGCCAGTAATCCCAGCATTTGGGAAGCTGAGGCAGGAGGATTACAGGTTCAAAGCCTGCCCAGGAAACAGTAAGTACTAGGCCAGCCTGGAGTGTTATGGAGCAATAATCCAGATTTTGTCCCAGATAAAAAGTAAAAGCAGTTTTTGGAACATATCTTCATGGCAGAGTGCTTGCCAAGCACACGCAAGGCCCTAGAGTCAATCTCCATCACCACACACACTCACACACACTCACATACACTCATATACACACACGTATATACATACTCACACATACACACAAGTACACACACATTTACACACTCATACACATACACACTTACACTTTCACACATGCACACACACTCACCCCCACATACACATTCACACACATTCATACAGACTCTCACACACATGCACACACACACATACACTCACACACACATACACTCACACACACACACTCACACATGTTCACACACACACACACACACACACACACCCTGTTTTCCTCCTTCAATCACTAACACTGTTTTTGGCAACAAGCTATACTTTTTACTGCAATGAGAAGTTACCTCCAAGGGCTCTGATTTTTGCTCCTGTCACCAACCCTTTCAGACAGGGTCCCTCTGTGTAGCCCAGGCTATCCTGGAACTTGTTATGTTGTAGGCCAGGATAGCCTTACACTCCCAGAGACCTGTCTGCCTCTGCTTCTCAAGTGCTGGGATTGAAGTTGTACGGCACCATGTGTGGCTTTTCTACCCTTTTAAATTAAAAATTGTTCAAAAAGGGCCAGCAAATCAGCTTTAAGTGGAAAGGCACCTGCTGCCAAGCCCAAAGACCTGAGTTCAATTCCTGGGACTCAAATGGTAGAGGGAGAGAACTAATTCCCACAAGTTGACCTCTGACCTCCATATGCATGCCATGTCACGTATGCATCCACAAACATACACACATACAAACATACACACATACAAACATATAAACATACACACATACAAACATACAAACATATACACATACAAACATATAAACATTCAAACATACAAACATACACACATATAAACATATAAACATACAAACATACACACATACAAACATACACATATAGAAACATACAAACATACAAACATATAAACATACACACATAAATACATACAAACATACAAACATATACAAACATACAAACATATACAAACGTATACAAACATGTAAGCATACACACCCAGAGTGATCTTTTCTAAATTTAAGGTTTATTTATTTTACGTGTACGAGTGTTCTGCCTGTATGTATGTCTATGCACCATGTGCATGTCTAATGCCTGCAGGGGTGAGACGAGGGAGTCAGATCTCTGTGGAACTGGAGTTACGGCCGGCTGGGAGCTGCCATGTGGGTGCTAGGAACCAAACTCAGGTTCTCTGAAGACCACCCAGAGCTCTTAACCCGGAGCCATCCTCTAGCCCCACAAAGTAAAGATTTTTAATGTTAAAAAAAAATTGTTCATATATCTACTACATGTGTGGAGGTGATTACAGTTAGAGAAGGCACGAAACCACAGCATCACCCTGCTCACTGTGGTCCATGTACAAACCACACAAATTAGTTAGGGGCAGGGCACTAGGACAACTCAGCTCTGTGCCTCCCAATGATTAAAAATCCTGAGACCCCCTTCAAGAGCTGCATCAGCCAGGGCCACTGCCTGCTACACCCGTCCTCACCCACTGAGAGCAGCATCCTCAAGTTCTCCAGCATCACGTCGTGGTACAGCTTCCTCTGGGCAGCGTCCAGCAGCCCCAGCTCCTCCTCGCTGAAGACCACGGCCACGTCCCTGAACGTCACCATCTCCTGTGACAGCAAACACATGACACCTAAGTCTCTCAACAGAGGGTAGCTGTGGATGATCTGGGGCTCGGGGTGTGGAGTACCTGCCTGGCATCCACAAAGCCCTGGGTCCCACCTCCAGCACCTCAGACACTGGACCACATAATCCCCTGTAAAATGCTTGCATTTCCAGCACATGGGAGGCCGAGACAGGAGGGTGACTGGTCAGCTTGAAGCCATATTAAGTTCCAGGACAGGATGGAACCCTGTCTTGCTTTGTTTTGTTTGTTTGTTTGTTTGTTTTTTCGAGACAGGGTTTTTCTGTGTATCTCTGGCTGTCCTGGAATTCACTCTGTAGACCAGGCTGGCCTTGAACTTAGAAATCCACCTGCCTCTGCCTCCCAAGTGCTGGGATTAAAGGCGTGCGCCACCATTGCCCGGTGAACCCTGTCTTGAAAACATAAAACAAAAAAGAAAAATCACAGAAGGACCACTTTTTATATAAAGTCCTTATTCTAATATGTTAAAAATGCAATGTCAACAAATACGCAATTTTAAATTTATAATGCATGAGGTAACTGGGGCTTTTTTTTCTTTCCTTCTTCTTCTCCTCCTCTTCCTCCTCCTCCTTTTCTTTCTTCTTCCTCCTCTCCTTCCTCCTCTTTCTCCTCTTCTTCCTCCTCCTTCTCCTCTTCCTCTTCCTCCTCCTCATCAGTATTCTTTCCCCAAAATGAATATAAAGATTCTTGGTTCTTCATGCCATAGACAACACTGAACCCATAACAAAAATCTGAGCTAGTAACAGGCAACTCAATGGGTGAAGGAGTTTGCTGCCAAGCCAGACAGCCCAAGTTTAAATCCTGGCAGCCACATGATGGAAGAAGAGAACGGACTCCTACAGGTTGTTCTCTGAGTACACTCAAATACTCAAAATAAATGTTAAACAAAAAAAACCCAATCCTAGTCTAAATCAGTGAAAAACAACTTGATATTTCTATTTATCTCCTGATCACTAAAATATTTTTCAAATATTTACTAACCATGTTTATTTTCTACTTATTTATTTATAGACAGGGTCTCGTAGCTTAGGTTAGCTTCAAACTTGATGTGTAGCCAAGGATGACCCTGCATTTCTCTAATTTTCCTGCCTCCTTTTCCCGAGTGTTGGGATCACAAGGGTGTGGTACCCAGACTGGAGTATGTGGTGCTGGGAATTAAACCTGGGGCCTCACGCATGCAAGGCAAGCACTCTCTACCTGTTAAGTTTATGTCCCTAGCGCCATGCTTGTTGCTCTTTGGTACTCTGCCTACCGTTCTCATATTTTAACTGGCTTCGTAAGTGTTAGTTCTGCCCTGCTGGGGACCAAAGTCAGGGTGCTGAACGATTGAGGCAAGCGCTCTGTCCAAGCTAATCGCTGGCCTGTACTTCCATTCCTTCACATGTATGTAGTAAGTATTCTCTTCGCTAACTTTATGTATAGCAGAGTGGCCCGAACTGGATGATGGTACTACGGGCTTTTCTAGTCTGTGCTTGTTCATCCAATCATATGTAGTAGTAGTAGTTAGTATTTTGTTGTTGTTGTTGTTGTTGTTGTTGTTGTTTTTAAGACAGGGTTTCCCTGCATAGCTTTGACAGTCCTGGAACTCACTACGTAAACCAGAGTGGCCTCGAACTCACAGAGATCTGCCTGCTCTGCTTTCCAGGTGTGGGGATTAAAAATGCCCAGCATTTTTATTATTTTTTTTTAAATCTTTAGTATGTTTAATTATCTGTATGTATGGCTGTGTATGTACATGTGAGTGCTGGTATCCTCAGAGGTCACCAGAGGGTCTCAGATCCCCTGGAGTTGGAGTTAAAGGCTGACTTGAGCCACCTGATGTAGGTTGGGATCTGAGCGTGGGTCCTCTGGAAGGGCAGCCGATGCTCTGAAGCGTGGAGCCATCCCCCCAGCCTTTGTTCTTATTGTCTCATTCATCCAATTATAAATAGATAATTGGTATTTATTTATAATGACAGAAATAATAACAGGAGTGATTACCACCTGGCATCCAAGGATGTCTCAAATGTCAACAGTTTTCTTTAATACTTCCTAAGAAGCAAGGAGATAAGTGGAACCTTTGAGCCGTGGTTCTCAACCTGTGGGACTCGGCCCCTTTGGGGGTTGAACAACCCTTTCACAGCGGTCACATATCAGAGATCCTGGATATCAGGTATGTACACTACAGTTCACGGCAGTGGCAAAATTACAGTTATGAAGCAGCAATGGAAGTAGCTCTACAGTTGCGGGTCACCACAACATTAGGAGCTGCAGTAAAGGGTGGCAACCTTAGGAAGGCTGAGAGCCCACTGGGTTTGAGAAAGAGATGAGAATTTAAGGCCGGTGAGAGAGCTCAGGGGTGAAGGTACTTGCCGCAAGGTCTTGTAAGCTGCGTTCCATCCCCAGGCCCCCCAGGGTGGAGGGGAGAGTCATACGTTGTCCTCTGAGCTCCACACACACGCCAGGCTATGGCACATGTGTACCTCTACAGCCACATCCACTCAACAAGCGAGCAAATGTAAGAGAGAAACAGCCCAACTCACCTTGACCTTGGTCATTGTCCTCCTGGGGAATGGCTGGGTCTTACAACGTGCAATGAAGGAAGAGAGAGAAGCCGTGAGACCTCGGCCAGAGTGTGACCAGCTCAGCGGCTGCCTTGTGTAGACAGCAACTGCATCCCTTCCTCAGGGAGGCTAGGTCGCCATGCACCCCTGCAGCTGTGAGCCCTGGCCAAGAGTGACCTGCCCGGCTACACACACAAATGATGCATGTGCTTCAAGCAGACGTCCTTCTCTCTCGTCTCCGAATCTGCCCTTCATCCTGGGGCAGTAGAAAATGCTGCTTACTTCAGTACTCTAAAAAGCAGGCTGCACGGGTGGCCAGCTTTGTGAAGGCATAAGGTTTTGCAAACTTGCAACATTAAGAGGAGAGCCATGAAAGGCGTTACCGTAGAAACAGAGACAACTGAATAAAGTGCCCACCTCTGTGAGATGTAGGTAATCACATTGTTACAACCAATGTAATTGGAATTAACAGACTATCCTCACCACTGGACAGAAATGGCATGGTATAATGTCACACACCTGACATTCAGGAGAGACTGAGGCAGGGGGACTGCTATCAGTTCAAGCTGGCCTGGATTACACAGTGAGGCCCTATCTCAAAAGTCATTATAAGATCTAGAAATGTGCTAGTGTTTGGCACACCAGGGACCCTGAGTAGCACGTGCACACTAGCACACTGGCCCACAAAGGTGCCTTCCAAGTGCCCGCAAAGGAGAAGCTACTGTGTGGCCTTGGTCCCAACATCTAAACTGCTGTGCCCATCGTTGGCTATAAAAAGGACAGAGATAGAACGCCGGGCCTAAGATTATGATGGGAAGCGAATGAACATACATAGGCAGCTCCCTCGGGGAGGTACCTGGTATTTTAGGGCATTCTTACCAACAAAGATGGCAGCTGATGCACCCACGCACTGGAGGGGGCGGAGGCAGGTGGGGGTTCCTGAAATCACCTCATTCCACAGCTGACATCCCGATAAGCCTTGTCTCTCTGTTGCTTCTAAAAGCAAAAAGAGATGGACAGGAGTCAGAGAGAAGTGGGCACTGGCGGAAAGGGGTGAGAGGCAGACACAGGAGCAGAGAAGGGTCAGAGTTAAAGGAAACGCTTGGAGGAATCCTACACTGGGTACCGGGCAGCAGCATGTAGTGGGGCATCTTCTCACTACATTTGTAGAAAGCTCGGTGATTGAGCTGTATGAGAGGTAGGCAGAGTGAGGAGAGGAAGAGGAGAAGGAAGAAGAGGAGCTAGGAAGGAAGGAAGGAGATGTAGGAGCCATGGAGAACCACACATGGGTCCAGGTCGGTCTTGGGTAACAATTTATATCTTAAGGTTAGACATTGGGAAACAACTCTAATTGTTTGAGCATCTTGTTAATCGAGCATTTCTAAATATATAAAGCCTTTAGACAACAATTAAGCTTTACAGTCTGATTTCTACTGGGTACCGCGTGGATGGCGGGATGGTCTAGGCTCAGCCAAACATTGTGGAGACAGCGTGGTAGACTGGCAGAGCCATCTCCCACCCTGGTGTCTTGTGGATGTCAGGGCCGGTGCTTCTGGCTGGCCTGAGCCACTGCTCATGGCCTCAGGCCTTGCCTAGTTGGGAACACAGCAGCCCCATAAAAACAAGCCAGATTGGGCCTTGCTGTTTTAAATATTACCGTAAAACACCAGCACTCTCATCTGAGGGCAGCAAGTCGAGTCACTGTCGCAAACCAGCCACCAGCTTGACTACAGATGAACAGCCTACCCCCTAAGATAGGAAGTTAGCTATGATAGAGAAGGGACACCCCGTAACGAATCATGGGTCCCCCAGGCGATGCCAGCCATTAACTATATATCAGGCCATTTTTAGGGATGGGGAGACACAGCGAGGTGGCTTAGTTATGCACGCCTTCACTCCAACGCTTTTCCTATTATGTTTATCTAGAGTGTGCGCAGGGCACATGTCGGGGTCACCAGAAGACAACCTGCAGCAGGAGTTGCTGCCTCTCACCACGTACACCCTGCGGGTGGAAGACAGGTCGTCAAGTTTGGCAGCAAGGACTCCTACGACTCCCGCACCTTCCAGGACGGCTCCTCTAACGTTTGGGTCAGTACCACAGTGGGAGCAGGAGCTCGCTGGACCCCTTCCTTTGTAAGTCCTAATGCATCTTTCTCTTAGCCACTTCTTGGCCGAGCCAAGCCCACTAGGGTTTCCTAAGGACTCTGGCTCTAAATTCCAGGCGGTTCTGTGCCTTAGTGAGAATATATCCAGGAAGTTATGACTCGAGGCTGTGGATCTGGGCTGTACGGTTCCAACCCAACCTTCAAACATTAACTTAGCCACCCCGTCTCTCTCAAGCCCTTCATTGTAGAGGGGAAAAGCAGTTGTTGTTTTTTAAGAAGGTCTTGGGCCTTGAAAAGAAATCACTGTAGGAAAAAGTGTTTGTTTTCTGTGACTTATAGACTTGTTTTTCTGAGGGAGCTTTACAGCCTTTGTATGACTTAGGTCACAGGACGGTCCTGGCAAACCTGGAGCGTCTTGCATTATTAGTATTGTTAAGACTGAGGCTGCGGGGTGAGGAGCTCCTTCGAGAAACACGGAGAGCAGACCCCGGGTTTGGTACGAGGAACTTGTTTAACTCTAAAAATAAAAGCTTCTGTATAACTGTCAACAAATACGCTTCTGCATGGCTGTTTGAGGCTCAGTCCATCAGAGGCTGGACCTCCCTGCTGCCTGCAAGGCCTTACTTCATCCTGGAGTGACCCTCTTTCTTGGATTGTCCCTCATGACCCTGATACCAACACTCCATCCTTAAAATAAAAAAGCTATGCTAGACGTGGTGACATATATCTTTAATCCCATCATTGGGACCGGCAGGAAGGAGAGGAGAATGACTCCCTGAGTTTGAGGCCAGCCTGGTCTACAGAGAGAGTTCCAGGACAGCCAGGGCTACATAGTGACACTCCACCTCCAAACAACAACAGCAGCAACAACAACAAAGCCAAGCCACACTCACCAGGAGCCTTGCTGAAGGAGCCACGACCTGGCCTTCTACTCAGTCCTACTCAAGGTCAGCCTGTGGAAGGAGAAAAACCGTGAATTAGGACAGTCATCCCTGACCAAGCAGTTAACTGTCCCCTCCCACCCACCCAGCTGGAGACAAAAGAGAGAGAGAGAGAGCAGAGAAGATGTCCAGGGCTAAACAGGATGGTTGATGGGGACAGACAGGAGGTCCGGGAGCACCCCCTCCTACTCCCCCCCACCCCCATGAGAGACCGGGAGCACCCCTGCTGCCCCTCCGCCCCTGTGAGAGGCCAGACTGCTGGAGAGATATGAGTACTCACAAGAAGAGATTACGATCTCCTGAAAAGAATGGTTCAAGGCTTTCCTGTCTGCTCTAACAGAGAAGACCCAAAAGCTAATGAGAGGGCCAAGTGTGGAGGCCCAGGCCTTTAACCCAGAATCCAGGAGGCAGAGAGGCAGAGGCAGAGGGGCAGAGGGGCAGAGGGGCAGAGAGGCAGAGGCAGAGGCAGAGGCAAGAGGATCCCTGTGGGTTTGAAGCCAGCCCTGGTTAACATAGCAAATTCCAGGACACAGAGAAACTGTCTCAGAAAAAGAAAAGGGTAATGAGCCCCTGTGATGATGGATCTCCGGGAAAAGGCGCTCGTCACCAGTGGCGACCGGAGTCCAGTTTCTAGGACCGGCCCTTCCTGTGAGAGTTCCTCCCGCCCTGCACATGCGCAATGTGGCAGGAGAGGGTGCACGCCTGCACACGCACACTAATTGTCATAGTGAAAAGAAAACGATTAGAGAAAAGCGTGAGAACCTGGATTTGGACCCCCAGCACTCATACGAGGGTTCCATGAGAGACACTGGGTCAAAACAATTAAATAAATAGGTCAATAAGTAAATAAGGAGGAGAGTGATCATGGAAGATACTTGGTATTGACCTTCGGCCCCCAGACACATGCATGAAGAAGCATGCACGTATCAGCACATGCACATACTAGCACACATATATGAGAAAGTCATAGACAGAGCGAGAATAAACGTATTTTAAAAGGCTGCACCTTAACAGGAGGAAATACATTTGACTTGATGCACCTGGGTATGCAAGAGCAACAGACCTCCACTGCTTCCTCCTTCCTCCCCTGAATCCGCAATGGGGGTGAGGGTGGGGTAGGGGCTGCCCTTGAATCACACCATCTTGAGAACATGCTGGGCTCGGAGCTCTGTTGTTTGGACTATCAGCTTTCAGGCTGTGACTCGTTTTGAATTTTATGCGGCAACAGTCTTGATCTGAGTTACCCCATTTTTGGATAAACGTGCCAAGAAGGAATCTATGTCTTGTTTACACCAACAGCCACAGCCAGGCAACTCATTTGTGCTATTAAAAGATATTGACTGGCCTTTAGTCCCAGCACTCTGGAGTCAGAGGCTGGCAGATCTCTGTGAGTTCAAAGCCAGCCTGGTAACATAAAACATAAGCTCACTGACCATATCGCATATAACTACCTCACCAAGGGACTCATATGTGGCAGCCACGCTACTCAGTAGCCTGGTAGCCAGAAGCCTTGTTTGGTGAAGTACTCCTGACCCCTATCTTTGTTCCCAAGTCCAGTTCCGATGATCCAACCTGTGACAATAAACTCACATGCCTGTATAACTGTGTGCAGAGTGACGCGTCGTCTGAAACTTATCATTATTATGTTAAACTTGGAATAAAAGAACCCGTGTGATTAATGGCCAACCACCAAACAAAATTGAGATTCCTTGGCAAATTGCAGCCAATGAAACTGACATTGTTGGTGACTTTCTCATTGTTAAGATATGCCCTCCTGGATCCCACCACCACCACCATGTGTTTGTCATCGGGATTTCCCCTGAAGATCTGTATCTAGTCCTCTCCTGGGCTCTTCTCTGCCCCTGTATCAGCTCTCTGCCTGCGACTTCAGGGAACCTTTCTTAATGCTAAAGTATCTTTGACCCTCTAAGCAACTCCGTAACCTGTACACATGCATGCGCGTATAAACGTGTGTGGAGTGACTCGTGGCCTGGGATTTATCATTCGTTATATTAAGCTTGAAATAAAAGAACACGTGATTAGTGGCCAACTACCAAGCAAAATCGAGCTTCCTTGGCAAATCGCAGGCAACGAAACTGACACAGCTTATGACTTGGTTCAGTAAAATCTGACATCATGGAAAGCCATAGATGTGTCCGATTATCCTTCTACATGACAGGCTCGCGACAAATTTCCTCCATCCATCCCGGTTCCCTGTAGTGTGGGTATGAGACGTAGAACCTTCAGGGTAGGGTGACACTAGCTACATCAATGCCCCAAACAACCCTATCAGCACGGCCCTCGCACCCCAATTCCAGACAGCAGTGAAGGAATGTGTGACGGCTCACACCTGTCAACGCAACACCGGAGGCCGAGGCACGAGGATGACAGAGCCACGCGCTGAGACCCTATCAAGTGCGATGAAATCTGTGGGATCCAGGGAGACTCACTGGGAGCCCTGCGCTTCCGTTTCGCCAGCCTGGAGCCGACTCCCCTACGGCCGCCCGCCGTCAACCCCGCAAACCTCCAGATCCATGGATCAGTCGAGGAAGGTGTGGGAGAGAAGAAACTCAAGGGAGGACAAGGGGAGCGATGCTAACAGAAACTACCTGGGAGACACTTCCCAGAATGCTTCGCATCAGTCCGCACAACAGAAGCACCCGCAACGCTCCGAGAATTTGAACTACACTTCCCAGAATGCACCGCGTCCGGCGGGCTCAACAGAAGCACGCGCAACGCTCGGAGAACCTGGACTACACTTCCCAGAAATCTCCGCGTCAGCTCGCCCGCGTATCTGCGTGCTTGTGGAACAGTTGAACTACACTTCCGGTAGTGGGTGCGGACAGACGGATCTTACACTCTTCATCTAGTATATAGCAACTCTGTGACATGTGTGCGTGCCACGCAGGTATTTCCCTAGCCCTCTGCGGAACTTTTTATTTGACCCGCAAGACACTGGTCCGCGCTATCCAATCCATACTGAATTTACGATGGTAAGTTCAGCCTTCCCCACTCAAATGCTGGGCTAACGCGTGTGCATGACACCACGCTGCCTCTGAACTTGACACATCCCGCGGGACCATGGAAAACTGAGTCCTCACCTCATAGGCGGTAATTTGGCCTGACTGTTGTCCTTATATACCTGAGTATATAATATATACTAATGTGTTTCTCAAACCAAAATTCTCTCCACACACCACAGCCACACAATCCAGCCACCTTAACCCTCAAGAATTCAACCATTAAGTCAGCTGAGACTGTAGCATATGACGCCAGTGGAATTCAACATTACAGCAATGAACAAATGGAAATTGAAGTTAGAAAAATAGTATCGTGGGGCTGGAGAGATGGCTCAGTGGTTAAGAGCACTGACTGCACTTCCAGAGGTCCTGAGTTCAAATCCCAGCAACCACATGGTGGCTCACAACCATCTGTAATGAGATCTGATGCCCTCTTCTGGTGTGTCTGAAGACAGCTACAGTGTATTCATATATAATAAATAAATAAATCTTTAAAAAAAATAGTATCGTTTAATTTATCACACACACAAAAATCCCACGGAATGCTATGTATAACTTGAATAAAATATGTCTGCTGAAAACTACAGCTTTCTGATGAAGGAAACCTAGAGTCCTGGGTATATGGTACCAGGTTGACTGCTTCAAGATGTCAATCTGCTCAGAAGTTAAGCTATATATTCAGTACAATCCCAAACAAAACCAGAGTTTACTTTTTAAAAAAATTACGAAGCTGATTCTAAGTTACTAAAAAGCAAACACATGAAAAATGGCCGACTCCTGTGTGACATGAGCAGAGCCAGGGACTGAACTCCCTCAGTCTGACAAGACAGCCGGGCTACCCCAGAGGCTCATCAGGGAAACCCAGAGCTTTCTGGCAGGACCAGTTCCTGGCATTAAGGCAGAACCAAATAGGAGCAACGCCTGTTATTTTCATGTGGTCCCCAAGATTCCACTTTTGAGGGCGGGACTTTTAGGCGTAAGTCTTCCTTCCAGAAGCATACCCAACGGCAGCACCTAAAGCACCAGTATTTATCATCGTAATAAGCGGAGTTGGGAAGACTATCTTTGGATATTTTGAAAGATAAGTGGTCCCGGGCACTGCAGATGTGCAGTTCTGCTATCCATCCAGGCTTTCCTAAGCTCTCCTTTAATTCAGATGATCCGTTAGCAGATGACGTAGCCGAGCCGTGGAAGAGCTGCAAAGCGCAAGCCAAGAAACATCGAGAGCAGGAGCTAGGCTGTGTGCTATGAATAATATTTAAGTCGATCAGAGAGATCATCAAGTTATATTCTCTTCTGCCAAGACTTCTTCCTTTTGTTGTTTACATTTAATGGACACGATCTTAGAAACATTTCAGATTTAAAGCCCGGGCACCTTCGCTTTTGGTGATTACATGCACTTTAGCAAATCTGTGTTGTCCTGGTTCACCATGGCAAAGCATGAGCCGAGGCTGGAAGCGTCATCTGGGTTCTTTTGAGGTGTTGAAAAGCAGTGACTCTCTGCTTTGACTCCTTTACCGTCGTAAGTACAGGGCACTGAGAAGAAAGGGAGGAGGCTAGCTGCCAGGGAATGCGTGTTTTTGTTTTATTATTTTTTTTAGGGGGAAGACAGTTTTATTTGTTTTATAGGCTCCTTCCTCCTCCCCCCTCCCTCATGAGATGTAATTGCAGTGATTAAACACAGCTAACCAGCTTGTTTAGAGTATGTTCTAGTCATGTCTAACTTTAGACTCTGTAGATGGATAAGCCTTATTGTCTGAGTCAAAACGAGAACATTTAAATAAACATTACAGCCCTCACTAATAACACTGTGGCTTTGCTGCCAAGTGTAGATTAACTGCCCCCCTACCCCAAGAAGAAGGAGAAGGAAGAAGAAGAAGGAAGAAGAGGAGAGAGGAAGCTAGCTTGTGACTATTTTGTATGACTTGTGTGGAAACTTCTGTAAATCTTATATTTTAGTAAGAATATCCTTTGTTATCCAAAAAAGAAAAGAAAAATGGTCAAATTCATTTTGAAGAATTCTGGAGCTGGAAGAAGACTCCTACTGATTCCAGTAAACCACATGAAGCTACTCTTTTTTAACAGTTCTGATCACACAGTATCTGGCAAAACAACAGACAAGAGCATCTGGGGACTCAGAGGCCAGGGAAAGATGAACACATGGCTTTTCTGTACAAGTGGGACAGAATTCTGTACTGAAAGGGCAGTGAATTGGATGTTCATATGACCTCCCACTGATGCAAAGTTAGCAGAAATGGATTATTTGTTAATGGCAAACCTCAAAGTGGGCAGGAACAAAGAAACAAAAAGACAAACAAAAAACAACCTCAGCTGCCAGGCCCCACATCCAGCAACTTACACCCACCGGTAACCACAGTTCCATGGGACCTGAGGACTGGCAGTGTGGTACCTGCATACGTGTGTATGTACACGCGGTGACAGACATATACATAATTTAAATTTTTAAAGCTTTCTGTAAAGTTAAATATATCCCTACTATATAATCCAGGAATAGATATTTATGAATCTAAAAGAACTGTCAGATTATATACAAAACCTGTTAAATTATATACAAAACAGTATGAAATGCTTTTCTTCATAATCACCAAATCCAGAAATCCAAACATTACTCAAGTGGTGAAAGAATAAAACAAACGTGGTATAGCACACAAAAGAAAAAAATAGTAATTCAGCAATGAAAAGGAATGAAAATCCCAGGGACGAACTCAGTGGTAGAACATTTGATTAATATGTGAGACTCAGGGTTCAATCCCTAGTTACCCTCCCCTCAAAGACACAAACAAGAAAGATGAACTAAAGACTTCCACAAAGTGAAAACCTTAGATTCAAAAGTCCACATACTACAGGGTTCCATTTACATTTTGGAAGAGGTAAACTATTAGAAAGAAAACAGATCAATGTTTGCTACGGGAAACCAGGGGGACTACAGAGAGGCTCAGGACAGAGTGCTTGGAGCTATTAAAAATCCTGACTGTGGTGGTTGCCTGGCAGCATTTTTCAAAACTTAGAATGAGATATAAAAACCAGTTTAACTTAAAACTATCCACTTTAAAGTTATTTTAAATGGAAGAAGTTTTCTTGGTTTGTTTAAAAGAATCCTTTCTTGTGACTGGGTGAGGTGCACCCCTTTAATCTCAACATTTGGGAGGCAGACAAATTTAAGTTCCAGGCCAGCCAGAGATACAGTGAGACCCAACCTTCCTCTTAATTTTTAAATTACCTTTTAATTTAAGGGTTGAGTGTACGTGTGGCATGGTTCAGGCCAGAGGACAACACAGGGGAGTCAGTTCTCTCCACCATGTGAGTCCTGGATTTGAACTCAGGTCCTTGAGCAGCAGGAAGCTTTCTTTACCCACCAAGCCACTGTCTTCTGGCCAACCATGTTTGATCATCTTGAGACAAGGCCCAGGCTGGCTTCAGATTCATTATGCAGTCAGTGTTGGTCTTGAATTACTGATCCTGTAAGGGACCCCTGAAGGGAGACCATCTCCAACGCCTGGAATTGCGCGCACCCAAGGAAACACGAGAGACCGACTTGATGTAAATGGCAAAAGGCAGTTTACTATCGAGGGGCCCTCGGGTTGAAACTCATCCCACGCAGGGGAAAGAATCGACCATGATCCCAGAAAACTTGGGGCTTTTATAGGGAGAGGCACAAGGGGGGGAGGGAAAAGCGGGAAATTCTGGCGCGGTTACATATAATTGGATGTTTCAAATATCAGCAATTTGTGTAAGCAATCATTTAGGCGGGCTGGATGACTCACTATTTTTGACCATGAAAAAACCTCAGACCTCCCAAGGAAGGGAGGAAAACACCAGGTGGCCCATTACTCACTTGGGCATGTTTGGATTTGTCAAAGCATGTCCTTATTGGCTCTACAATTTTTGGTCACTCTGCCCCTGGATATTTTTATTATGGCTATTTTCAGCAAGTTCAGCAAGTTGTTTGGTGGTCTTTGCTAAGTTGTTTTTAATTTTTATTCCCACAATCCTGCCTCCTGAGAGCTGAGTTTATAGGGGCAGGCAACCATATTTGGTTAGAACTTACCATATGCAGTTTATCTGAGACCTTCTATTATAAAAACTAGGTGGGAATTTTTGTTAAATGTTCCCTTTTGCATTTATTGATATAAGAACCAATAGCCCATATTTAAATCCACACGAAGCTCAAGAACAAACCTAAGCACCGTGCATCATGGGAAGTGTGCTTGTTGGCACACTGAGGGTGGGAACGCTGCAAACAGGCAAGAAGCACCTTGTGTTCATAGACGCATTACAGACCTTTGTGACTGCAAGCTTCTCCACCAGTGCCCAAGTCCCTGAAATAACGACTCTGAGACTTAATGATATACCAGTAAATACCTAGGCCATAAGCTTGGGCTTGTTCCCTGACTAGCTTGTAACATAATTAACCCATTTATTTTATTCAGTGAGTGTCATACACCTGCTTACCTCTTCTTAGTTTCATGTGTCTGTCTCCATCATCGTTGGGGGCGAGTCTCCCAT